TCACCACTCACCATCACCATAACCCCCATCATCACCATCACCATCACCATCACCATCACCATCACCACCACCATCACCATCACCATCACCACCACCACCACCATCATCACCATCACCATCACCATCACCATCACCACCACCATCACCATCACCACCACCACCACCACCATCATCACCATCACCATCACCATCACCATCACCACCACCATCACCATCACCATCACCACCACCACCATCACCATCACCATCACCACCACCATCACCATCACCATCACCATCACCATCACCATCACCACCATCATCACCATCACCATCACCATCACCACCACCATCACCACCATCATCACCATCACCACCACCATCACCATCACCATCACCTCCACCATCACCTCCACCATCACTATCATTGTGTTTTATCTAATGTCTGTGCTCGCCCCAAACCCTCGCGTGCCGCCGGAACGACGTGCCTCGCGCTGCCGCATGTGCTGGAGCACGGCTTTGCCGCCCTGGACCACGATGTGGTTGGGCGGCGATTCGACGCTGTGCGTCCCATCAAGTCGCAGCCGCCGGAGCGAGGCGATATGGGCAAGCTGCTGCGGGAGCGTCCGGAGCACGGGGCAGAATGAAAGATCGAGGCAGATCAGCCGCTGGAGGCAGACCAGCATTGGTGGCACATCGCGAAAGTCGTTGTGCGAGAGGTCGAGGTACTCGAGACTCACAAGCCGGAAGATGCCGTGGGGGACGGCGTCAAGCCCGCACTGTGAGAGCGAGAGGCTTCGCAGCACGCTGAGCTCCCCGATGCGGAGCGAAAAGGTCTTGGCCGGCTGCGCCTTTTTGAGCACCGACTGCGCCCGTAGCCGCCGCGCCTTGGTGAGGAGCGCCGCCTGAGGCGAAAACGACGACAGCCGGACCTTGACCAGGCCTGTGCGGAACTGCGGCACAATGGCAACAGCCTCGGTCGGCGGCGGGCGGGCAGGCGTCGACGGTGAGTGCGGAAGAAACGGCGACGATGGCGTCGGCGGCTCGTCATCTGAATCGCGCGACGACTGGTACGACGCGCACGACGCCCGGCTAGCCGGCGTGCCGGGCGACTTGGGCGTGGGCGGCAGGTCGCGCGGCTCGGCTGGCAGCACCCGCCGCTCGACCTGCGCTCTATGCCCGGTGCTCAACGGGTTGCCCGAGAGATCGAGTGCCGTCAGCGTCGCAGCAAGCGGGAGGATCTCCTCCGGAAACATCGCCAGTGCGTTGTTGGCCACGTCGAGAACAGTGAGCGACGCGAGGGTGCGGAGCGAGGCCGGAAGCGCATTGAGCGCGTTGTCGTTGAGGTACAGGTGCGTGAGCCGAGTGAGCGCGCCAAACGCGTCAGGCAGCCGCTGCAGGCCGATGTGTGAGAGATGGAGCATGGCGGTGGCGGCAAGCGGCGAGTGCCACCGCGGGTGGAGGAGCGCGGGCGGGATGGCAGTCAGTGGGTTGCCATCGATGCGGAGCGTCCGTAGTGCCGGAAGGAGCGGGAGGCCCTCGGGGACCTTGCGGATGCCGTTGTTGTGGATGAGGAGGACCTCGAGCGAGGTGAGCCCGAGCACCGCCCGCGGGACAAAGGTGAGCGTCGGAGCCCAGGCAAGGCGGTCAAACTCGGACTCGTCTTTGAACTGAGTCAACGTCTTGGCCCGCGCTGCAACTTCGCGCAGCGTAGTCACCATCCGCCGCCCGCCGCCCTCGCCCTCCTCGAGATCATCGTCGTCGATGCGGAGAAGGGCCGAGAGCCCGCGCGAGAGCGTGAACCGCGGCACGTCACCGCTACTCCCGCCGCTGTCCGGCAAGCGCATCGAGTCGGTGCTCCGCACAGCGCCCACAAATGAGGCCCGCGACAACGGCGGCGACAACGAGCCATCGGCCTCGGTGCAGTCGTCGACCGGTCGGGCCTGGCTGTCGACCACCAGCTCGCGGAGACGGACAAGTTTGTCAATATTGTACGGCAGGTCCTCGAGCATGTTACCCGAGAGGAAGAGCAACTCAAGCGAGGTAGCCGCAACAACCGCGTCGACATCCGTCAGCTTGTTGTGCGACGCAATGAGCGTGGTGAGCTCCGGGAGCTCGGCGAGCCAAGGAGGGAGCTCGGTCAGCTCGTTGTCCTCAACGTTGAGCGAGACAAGGAGCGCGAGTCTGCTCAGCGCAGGATCGAGCTCGTGCAAGCCGTTGGTCGAGAGGTCCAGCTCGCGCAGATAGTCGAGTGTGGCTGCCTGCCGCGGAACAGCGCCGAGTGAGAGACCGCCCAGATCTAGAACCTCGGAGACGCGGGCAATGCGCAAAGCGTGAGCAACAGCGACGCTCGCCGGGCCGACCACCGATCCCGGAAGCGGGGCGCCAGCCGCCGTCCCCACAGCCAGCACATCCACCGCCAGCCCATCCGACTGGCTCGGCGCCACCGCCGCCACCGAGGCCAGCGAGCCCGTGATCGAAGCCAGCCGCCGCGCCACCGCCGGTGCCGCATGATACTCGGCACCCTGCTTCCGGACGTTGGCAAAGACCGATCGCCGCGACGGTGTCGCCAGATGCGCCGCCGACCCACCCGACACCAGTGACACGTTCGAGCTCACCGCCACCAGCACCTTGTCCGCAGACCCGCCACCGTCGCCCTCGTCGCCGGACCCAGACCCGGACCCAGACCCCGACCCGGACCCGGACCCGGACCCGGACCACGACCTGTGCTCGTCCACGCCTGGTGGAGCAAAGCGGACAGACATAGGCAGAGAGAGTGGAGGTGGTGGAGAGGTGTGGTGCGGTGCGGGCTACGGGCTGCCACCTCATCCGGGGGGAGGAGGGGGTGGGGCCGTTTGGCCTGACACAGGCGACACAGCCACGGGCTGGGCGAAGGGTAAGGGGGGGCGGGGGGGGGGGGGGGCGGGGGGACGGACCACCCAACGCCGAGCCAAAGGGGGCAGACGGAGACAGACGGGATGAGCACGGGCAAGCGCAAGCTCAACAAGGCCGACTTCATGTTCAAGAAGCGGACCAACGAGGTGCTGGTCAAGGCGCCCGGGGCGGTGGCCGGCCAGCAGTTCATGGTGGCCGACCTGAGCGGATGCACGGTGTACGTGCTCGACCACTCGGCGGTCGTCACCGCCGACGCATGCTCCGACTGCACCCTCGTCTTTGGCCCCGTCGAGGGCTCCTTCTTCCTCCGCGATTGCACAAACTGCACCGTCATCGTCGCCGCCGGCCAGCTCCGCACCCGCGACTGCCGCGACTGCGACATCTTCCTCTTCGCCGCCTCGGATCCCATCATCGAGGCCTCCACAGCCATGGTCTTCCACCACTACAACGCCGCCTACCCGGGCCTCTCCGCACACTTTGCCGCCGCAGGCCTCGACCCGGCCGTCAACCGCTGGACCGCCATGTACGACTTCTCCCGCGAGGACGACTCGCTCGACCAGCCGCACTACACCATCCTCGACACGCCCGACGCTGACCCGGCATGGGCCCCCGCTGCCTTTGCCCTCCCGGGCCCGGACGCTCCTCCGCCGGACACTCCCATCGCTCTGCTCGACAACTCCGCCTTTGTCTACTCGCCCGACTCCGCCACTGTCGTCCCGCTGCCGGCGCCCGCCCAGGACTCCGCTCAGGAGCCCGCCCTGCAGCCTGCGCACCAACCGGCATCACAGCCTGCTGCTGATCCTCCTTCTGCATCGCCTTTTACTGCTGCCGTCGCCGCCGCTCCTGACTCGGCACAGGGCGACGACGGCTCTCCAGTTGCCACAGCTGCTGCCCGCGCCCGCGCCTTTATTGCCAACCTCGAGGCGTCGGCTGCAGAGGCCACCGCAGCACAAAAGGCCGACGCCGCCGACCAGCTGGCTGCCTTTACCGCTGAGCGCCAAGCCCGCATCGACGCTGCGCACACCGCCAACGCCGATGCAGAAGCCGCCCTTGCCCTCGCACAAGCCCCTTCGTCAAACAGCGCAGACTCGTGGTCAGCCGTAGCAGAGCTAGCCCTCTCCGCCCGCCCGCGCGGCTCCGGCCCGCACGCATGCAGTCACTCCTCCTCGCCCTCACATCCGCGCCGCCGAGCTGAGAGCCTCCACTCACGATATGCTGCCGCCCTCGTCCACAAACGCCGCTAGCAGCTCCAGCCTTACACCGCCGCCATCGTTCGGCTCGCTCACTTCCTGCTCTTCGTACACATACTCATACTCGTAGCCGCCGCCGCCACCGGCCGAGTCGAGCGCCGACGACCGCTCATCGCTCCCAGCCCCGTGGTACCGCCACGCGTACAACGCGCTGTGGGCGCCGAGCGTGAACGCTGTCGCAGACTTGGCATCGTAGCCGAGGCCGGTCAGCGCGCCAGATGCGCCGTCGCGCTCACTCGCCGTCTGCCTGCCCAGCCGCCAGTCCCACGCTGCCAGCGAGCCGTCAGCCGACGCCGAGAGCAGCTCTGACGCAGAGGCCCACGCCACGCCCGTCACCGCCTGCCGGTGGCCCACCAGCTGCGCCGCGATTCGACCGGCCATCCGTGGATCAAGCACGTTGATCTCACAGCCGGAGCCGTCAAACCCGTTGTGGCCCGTTGCAATCAGCGCGCTCTCCAGCGCCTCGCCGCGGACCGCCAGTGCCTTGGGAATGTTGACCAGGCCGCTCCAGACTTGCGCCGGTGACGTCGCCGGCGCCCGCACATCCCACACATTCACCCGCAGATCCTCGGCAGCCTGCACAAGCGTGGTGCTTCCCACAAAGCCGAGCGCCGTGACCAGATTGCGCGCCCGAGCAAAGGCCCAAACCTCGACCGCCCCCGCCCCGCCGCCTACGTCCCACACCTTGACCGCTGTGTCGCGCCCGCCCGTCGCCACCCGCCCCTCCCGCCCAGCCACCGCCACCGCCGCCACCGTCCGCGTGTGGACGCCGCGCGCCTCAATCCGCCGTCCACCCGACGTCCACGCCCCGCCCGGCTCGCGCCCGTCCACCACCAGGTGCCCGCCGCGCGCCACCGCCGCCACCAGCGCGTCGTCGGCCGCCACCGCCGCCACCCGCCCGTCCAGCACAGCATACGGCGCCACCCGCCCGCCCGACTCCTTAGCTCCTCCAGCATCCTCCCAGCACACCGCCGCGCACCCGCCGTCGTCGCACCCCACCATGGCCCATGCCCCGCCTGCCGCCGCCACCGCGGTCGGCTCGGCCACCACTGCCGGCCACCGCCGCCGCCCGCCGCCGCCGCCGACCCCTGCTCCCCCGCCTCCACTGGCCTCGTATGCCCTGCTGCTCCGCCCGTCCTGTCCGCAGCATGCGTTGCCCATCCCGTCCTCCCCACCGTGTGTGATGTGTCGCGCTATGTGTGCAGTGTCGGCAGAGCTTCGCCCGTCTGACGGCGTTTTGCTGATCATGGCAAACGACGCAGGCGATCAGTCAGACAGCCCCGCCCCTGCCCACCCGTGCCCCCGCTCCCTCGCTCCTTACCGAGCAACACGCCCGCCTCATGCATCCATCGCCTCCTCCAAACCACTCCATGTCCCCCCCCCCCCTCCTGCCACGTCCACCCCCACCCTCCCCCCTCCGCCCACGGTCTCGCCCCTCCCCTCCTGCCGCCAACACCTGATCGATCGCCTGCCTTTCACGACCTTTTCCTGTCGGCTCGCCGGTTTGGCGCCACCGCACGGCCACCGCTCGCACCGGCACTCCGGGCAGCATGTCGGTGGCACGGTTCCGGAACATGTTCGACGGGGGGGCGGGGGCGGGGACGGGGCTCGCAAGCCGCGGCGGTCTGCGGCGCAGGAGAACGCCGAGTTGCGCGACGAGGTAGCTGCGCTCAAGGCGGCGGCGGGCGAGGCCGAGGCCGATTCTGGCCCACC